TCAAATCTCCTTCTATTCCTCCCAACGCATTCCCTTTTTTGCATGATCCTTTTATACCATCTACACAAAACGATACAACAGTACATAATGACCAAACTCAACAATCCTCTGAATCATCTGTTTTATATGAACTTCCAACATGTCCGGTGTGCCTTGAAAGAATGGATGCATCCGTAACTGGATTGCTCACAATTCTATGCCAACACACGTTTCATTGTAATTGTTTAAGTAAATGGGGTGATAGTAGGTATGTATTGACATTTTTTTTTAAAAATAATAAATTTATTTTCTAGTAATTTTAATAATATTATATTTGTAGTTGTCCCGTGTGTCGTTATAGTCAGAAAAGTAATGTTATCGATCCATCACTAGGACAAAATGAATGTGGGGTTTGTGGTGTCACTGAGAGTTTATGGATATGTCTTATATGTGGCAATATTGGTTGCGGTCGATATCAAGAAGCACATGCGTACTGTCATTATAAAGAAACTTCACATTTATACGCCTTAGAATTAGAAACTCAAAGAGTTTGGGATTATGCTGGTGACGGGTAAATTAAATCATTTTCATTATGTGAATATCAAATGAAATAAATATTAAAATTTTTGATTATTTCATAACAGATATGTTCATCGTCTAATACAAAACAAATCGGATGGTAAACTAGTAGAGTTACCCAGTCCTGATGGTCCACCTCAAATGCAACAATCACGTGCGGAAATTGATCAGGTGAGTATGATTATATCAATATTTGATCGATATTCATTATATGAATTATGACTAATGTAAATCCCAATTAGGATAAACTGGATGCCATTGGACAAGAGTACAGTTACCTTTTATCAACCCAGCTTTCTTCTCAACGAGTTTACTACGTAGAAAAAACTTGAGTCGGTCACCCTTCAATTATCAAAACTAACAAGTCAAATTCAAAAATTAGAGGATGAAGTTTCAACCTTGAATCAAGATAAAGATAAATATAAAAAAGAAAATGAGTTACTTGAAAAAGAAAAGATACCATCTTTGATAAAAGAGAAGAAAGCTATTGAGAAGAAAATGGAAAAATTTACTGAAAAATCAAATAAACTTGAAAAAGAATTAAATGGTGAAAAGGAGGTAACATATTTCTTTATTTAA